TGGCACTCTACCCAGTGCAACATATTGAGACTCTGTCTCAAAAAATGTTTGGGAATTAGATACTCATTACATAACTTTGTCAATATATTAAAAATCACTGACCTGTCTACTTTAAAAGGTTAAATTATGGAATGTGAATTATATTTCAATAAGTCACATGGCTAGTGACTATTGTATTTAGACTGTGCAGTTCTGAAGGAAGGTACTTAAGGATCTTAGGGATGAGGAGGAGCAGGGGAATCTCTTCTCTTGGGGATCAAATGAAAGAAGACAGAGACAGCACACACATACCAGGCTGCCTCTGCTGAGGCAGGAGAAGGGAGTGTGTGTGTGGTCCACTTTCTTCAAGCCCATGAAAGCTGTAGGTTATGTGGTAGGACCTCAGATAGTCACAAGCTTTTCTACTGGATGCCACAGATCTCCATTTCCTGAGTTCGAAGAATCATCAAACTAAAGTGCAGTGACTTATATTCCCCAACATCAATATATTGCAATCCTAACTCCCAAGGTCATTATTGCTGAGAGGCAGGACCTTGGGGAATTGATTAGTCCTCATGGAAATGGGATTAATGTCCTCATGAAAGAGGCCCAAGAGAGCTTGTTGTGCCCCTTCTGCCATGTGAGAACAGAGAAAGGTTGGCAGTCTGCAACCCAGAAGAGGGCCCCCACCAGAACATAACCAAACTGGCACTTTGATCAGCCTCCATAGCTCTGAGAAATAAATTTCTGTTGTTTATAAGTCACCTAGTCTCTTGTATTTTATTATAGCAGCCTGAACAGACTAAGATGCAAGATGAATTGACTATGGCAAATGTCAAGGAAATAAGGCTCTAGTCTTTTTGTAACTTTCCCCTCTAACTTGCTGATTTTGTATTCACATCATCAAGACTAGCCAGACTGTCACTGTCATTCAGTCTTAAGAAATCACTGGACAGTGTAGAACAGGGCCAGTAATTATACTGGTATTGTACCAGAGGCAAAGAAATAGATTCAAGGGTTTAAAGCACAGACAATGTCACAGAGGAGGAAGAGAGATAATACAGAGTGGGGAATTTTCTTTACTAGTCCCCTTCTAAACATTAGACCATTTTAAGTAATGAAACAGCTAGAGTTTGCATGGAAGTTCATTAGTAGTCATATTTGGATTTGTCTTCACTACAAGAAGCTATGACAGGGACAAAAAGTAAGTACTAGAATAATCCTGTCATGTACTAGATTATCAAATATCCATTAATAGAAAAATGATTTAAAAAAACATTATTTTTATTTATAGTATCACCATTATTCTAATTGGTAACTTTTTTTTGGTAAATAAAATTTATTACATAGATTTAAAACGACACACATACATGTGGTCTTTGCTTTTGTGGACCCATGAGATGCTTTGATGGAGATAAATGGCTAATGAGTGGGAAAGAGGCACAGAGTGATTACCTGTCCCAGCTAATTTGGGGGCTGGTTCCTGGAAGAGTGGGGATTTCTCCCAATGATGGGGGCTCAGCTGATCATGAGATTCTGCCTGGGAAGGCTCCTCCAACAAGCTCTCCCTGAGATCTGTCCTGGGAGTTTGCAGTTGAAAGTCTGGCAGTTCCTGTTCTCCGAGCTGGGATCCAGTTTTCTCCAAAAGTACCTTCTGCCCCTGCATACAAACGGCCACCTAGGAATAAGCCCCATCCATTAGGACTGACTAAGGGCAGCATTTCTTTTCACTGCTTTATAACAACCCCTTTGCCTTAGGAATTTCTGATAATGGCCTGGACATCAGCTTTCACAGAGATCACTGAAACCCTCAAAAGAAGCAAAGGGATAGGCATAGAGAACAAGCATAAGACTGTTTTGAATGGGCCAAAACTTCTTGAGTGGCTTTCCAAGGGCGTTTCTCAAGGTCTGGAGTGAAAGTCCTAAGAAGAGAGTTGGCACAAATATCAGGGTCAGTCCTGACATTGGCCCATCAGATTTGTACCCTACATACCACTGCCTTGCCTACTTCTGCTGGGGACAGACCCTATAGGACCAGCAGTATGGTAAGAGGCCATTAAAAACCATTCTTTTTTTTTGAGACAGAGCCTCAAGCTGTCCCCCTGGGTAGAGTGCTGTGGCTTCACAGCTCACAGCAACCTCCAACTCCTGGGCTCAAGTGAGTCTCCTGCCTCAGCCTCCCAAGTAGCTGGGACCACAGGCGCCTGCCACAACACCCAGCTATTTTTTTGGTTGTAGCCATCATTGTTGTTTTGGCGGGCCCGGGCTGGATTCGAACTCGCCACCTTAGGTGTATATGGCTGGCACCTTAGCCACTTGAGCCACAGGCGCCGAGCCTTAAAAACCATTCTTATATAATAAACATTCTGCCAAAGGCTCTCTTGGTAAGGAGATCCCAGTAGCAGTACAGGTCTAAGAGAACTGCCTCACCCCTGATCCCTAACAGGTTCCATTTTCATTTCTGCTTGCTTCCTGCCTAGGTCCTGACTGGGGTCTGACTTGGGAGATTAGAGGTGGGTTGGCATAGCAACACTGGCTAAATTAAGCTGTAACTTCCTAATCCAAAGACAATATGCCAGACTCTTCACTGGAACAAGGTACAATAAAGTTTCCCCAAAGTCTAATTCCTACCCAACAGGATGACTCTGCCTGCTAATAATTCTGACTGTTGGAAAAATTCAAGAGGAATGGGTGGCGTAAGATATGACAGCAGAAATTCAAGAACCTTAAAACTACTTCTGGCAGAATGAGGCCCATAAAGGACTGGTAACGATCTTGATCCTCTACTTCCTCACTGGATGTCAGTAGCTGGGTTTTCTGAAAACCTGTTAGAATTCACAGGTCTCCAGATAGAGGCAACTTTGAAGCCAACCAGTCCATTCTGGACTGTGTTTAAATGAGGGATCCACAGACTAAACATTATCCAGATGAAAAAGAAACCCTGGGGACCACGAGAGAGGACTCTCCTTACCCACTGCTTTGGTTTCTTGGATGCTCTGTGAAAATCTTCCACCAGGCTCACAATCTCCTTACTGCTCATTGGGCATCGATGCCTGATCCGAGCCTGGATCTCTGGGGGCAGGATTGTCAGGAACTGCTCCATCACCAGAAGCTCTAAAATCTGCTCTTTGGTGTGCAGCTCAGGCTGCAGCCACTGATGGCAGAGTTGTCGGAGCCTGGAGAGTGCCTCTTGGGGGCTAGACACCTCTTGATAACAAAACCGTCTGAAATTCTGACGAGAAAGCTCAGGATCCGGGCAGTTTTTTGGTGGAGCAAGTACCCGTTTCTCTTCTAGTTTTGTTATTATATGTCTCTCTTGCTTGGAGGAAGCATGAGTGTGGGAGCTCAAAGTTATCTCCATTTTAGCAGCCATTTTGGGGATCAGGAGACAACTTCTCTCTCCTAGTAAACGGGTCAAGCCTTTATGATCATGACTCTGGAGAAGTCTCTCTAAATGCTAAAAAGGCGCTAGAAACTGAAGCTCCTCTGAGGATGGTAGGGAGTACAGGATGCAGAGACAGGGCCTTCTCATTGGGTAGCCTTTACCCTAAACTTTGAAGACAACGTGACATTGCGAAGAGCTGCTTGTTCCATGAACTATCTTGCAAAGGAGAAAAGTCATAACATCCTAAAACGACTCCGGGGAAAACACTTCTTTGATTTCACAAAGTCTCAGACGAAATGGACAATATGATCTAACGAGCTGGCCGAGAGAAATCTCTAGGAAAAGTTCAAGCTGTCTTACAGGTAGCTCGCACCAACTATCCGGCATCCTGGCTGAAACCGACCTGGAGCATATCCCTGGGAGGTAGAGATTAGAGCCAAGGCAGGCCACAGCACAAGCCAGAGGGGGTGTGAGCTAGCGGTGCACCCCCTGCTCTCGAGCTAGGCTGATGCAGGCGCGATGACAGCTCGCTCCCGAGGTGCCGCAGGCCCAGAGGCTCCGGCCTCCCGGCGTCCCAGCTCCGGCTCGGGCTCCGACTCCGGCTTTGGCGCTCAGCTGGCCCCGGGCCTGTGGAAACTGCAGCAATCTGGCGCACGGCTCAACTACACAGAAGGATGTGAATTTAAGCTGGCGCCTGCGACACGACTATCCGAAGCAGCCCAGAACCTCAAGCTCGCCTGCAGCTGACTCCCCTCTCAGAGAACCCGGGAGTAGGAACCCAGAAGCACAAGCTGGGGGCGGGGCCCAAACCTCATGTCGCGGAGACGCCTACTGGGTACCCCGGCACTGCCGCGGGAGGATCCGCCTCCCCCCAAGGGATTGGTGCCTAGAGGACGCCCTCCATCGTCTATTGGCTGCTGGGTCTGTCAAGAGCGTCGCAGTGCACCCCGGGAGTTGTAGTCTGGTTGCTCGATTTGCCAGCGTGCGCAGTGAGTGGCCTAGCGGAAGGACAGGAACAGCTGACTTCCGGCCCGGCTGACAGTTTGGGGAGTCTAGAGTGCTCGCGTCTGGTGAGTTTTAATTCTTCCTTGCTGCCGGGCCTCAAGTCGGATAAGGAGCCCCTTGTCGCTGGGAGTCTTCTCCGAGACCGTTGGGTTAGGCCCAGGTGGACGTTTCGGTGGGACGGGTGGCCTCCTTTATGCCTGGAGTCCCCACGTAGCCGGCCCAGGAGAGTCCCGCCCCCGACACTCACCTTGAAGTAGGCGTCCGGACCATGCTCCTTTCGCCCCCGACTCGCCCACTTCTTACTCCTTATTCACAGTACCTAACCCAGCACAGTGCATAATAAATATTTGCCGAGTGAAAAATGAATCAGCCGGGCTTTCTGTGTTCATTCTCAGTTTCTCTGAGTTTGAGGCATCCCTACAGTGAAAGAAATTTGGGAGAGACAGCATTAAAATTTTTTTTAGATTTTTTTTCACAGAGACAGAGTCTCATTTTGTCGCCCTCGGTAGAGGTGCCGTAGCGTCACAGCTCACAGCAACCTCCAGCTCTTGGGCTTAGGCGATTCTCTTGCCTCAGCCTCCCGAGTAGCTGGGACTACAGGAGCCTGCCACAACACCCAGTTATTTTTTGCTGCAATTTGGCCAGGGCCGGGTTTGAACCCGCCACCCTTGTCATATGGGGTCGGCACCCTACTCACTGAGCCACAGGCACCACCCAGCATTTTAGAATTTAATGATGAGTGGAATGTAAGGGGTCATGAGGAGTGCTGGCTCTGCTTCTGCATGAAACTAGAAGAGCATTCATTAAATTATTCTCCAGCCTGTTAAGGTGTAGGATGTAAGAACATGTGCAAGGCAAGGGGTCCAGGTTCTAGTCCTGGCCTTGCTGCTTAGGAGCTATGCTGTATGATTCTAGGCAAGATACTCAATCACCCCGTCTTTCTCCTCATTGGCTAAAAAGGAGCGCTAACAATAATGTCCTTGATTTCTGTTTCTAGCCTCTCCTGCCAAACTGAAATGTAAAGAGAATCTAAGTGAGAGAAGTTCAAATATTTTGAGAAAAGAGAACCCAAATCCATAAAAACAAAACAACTAAAATTTAATTGTAAAAAACAAAATGTACCATCTTAACCATTTTTTCTTTTCTTTTTTTCTTTTTTTTCCTTTTTTTTTGAGGCAAAATCTCAAGCTGTCAACCTGGGTAGAGTGCCCTGGTGTCACAGCTCACAGCAACCTCAAACTCCTGGGCTCAAGTGATTTTCCTGCCTCAGCCTCTCAAGTAGCTGAGACCACAGGAGTTCGCCACCCAGGCTGGATTCGAACCCACCACCTCTGGTGTATGTGGCTGGCACCCTAGCTGCTTGAGCTACAGGTGCCGAGCCCATCTTAACCATTTTTAAGTGTACAGTTTGGTAGTGTTGAGTATTCATGTTATTGCACAACCCAAATCCATTTTAATACTGCCTGGTGGGGCTCAGCACCCATGGCTCAGTGAGTAGGGCACTGGCCATGTACACCAAGGCTGGCAGGTTTGAGCCTGGCCTGGGGCTGCTAAACAACAATGACAACTGAACTGCAACCAAAAATAGCCAGGTGTTGTGGTGAGTGCCTATATTTCCAGCTACTGGGGAGGCTGAGGCAAGAGAATTGCTTAAGCCAGAGTTTGAGGTTGCTGTGAGCTGTGATGCCACAGCACTGTACTGAGGGTGACATAGTGACACTCTGTCTCAAAAAAAAAAAAAATACTGCCTGGTGGAGGTATATCAACTCTTGTATAAGATTAAAAATTGCCCTTTATGATTGTATCTGCTTTAATCTGTATTTTAAGTAGTTAAAACCCAACTCAAATTAATTAAAAAAATTTCCTTATACAAATTGGCATTGGAGATCCAAATATGTTGTCAAAACTCTGGTGTATTGGTCTTCTCCTGTGAACAAGCTCACCCCTGTATTGGAGGAGTGAAACAGAGAGTGGGGCATAGTTGCAGAGAGCTCTAGTCTTATATTTACCCAGTGGAGCATTTCCCAGGAAATTCAGAACTTTTTGCACTCCTCCAGCATGTGAATTTTTATAGGCCCATCTATGTTATATGCCCACTCTTGGAGTGAGGGGAAGGGTATTGTCACTAATAGCCCTACTAGAACCAGTGAAGTAGAAAGGGTCTCTTTGACAAAGAAAGATTCTCCTATCAGAAGTGGGGGAAAGAATGCTGGGATATAAAAACAATACAGCAAACCAGAATAATGACTTATCCACATTCTGAGTGTGTGTGTGTGGAGGTGGTGGTTATGGGGAGCACAGTGTAATAGTGATGAAGAGATTAATCAAAAAGCACATGCATGCTCACTAATTTCTCTCCTTAGAGAAAGAGGCAATAGGGAAGATGAATCCAGGCTTCTTGAGGATAGGGAATGACAGGAAAAAGACCCAGGCAGGTGAGGGAAGAAGGGAAGGACAGGTAGGCTACATTGTGAGGAGGAATAGTTTTGGTAATTTGTTAGCAGACTTAGAAACTTGGCTGGGAAGAAAACTGTTTTTTATATTGTTTTCTTTTTCTTTCTTTCTTTCTTTCTTTTTTTTTTGAGACAGAGTCTGGCTGTGTTGCCCTCAGTAGAGTATGATGACATCATAGCTCACAGAAACCTCAAACTCCTGGGCTCGAGTGATTCTCTGGTCTCAGCTTCCTGAATAGCTAGGACTAACAGGCACCTGCCACAATGCCCGGCTGTTTTTAGAAATGGGGTCTCACTCTTGTTAGGGCTGGTCTTGAACTCCTGAGCTCAAGCAGTCCACCCATCTCAGCTTCCCAAAGTGCTTTTTTTTTTTTTATATTCTAATGTTTTGGATTCTTAGCGTGGATTTGTGGAGGGAGTAAAAGGGATAGTCAATTGCAAGGAGGAGAGTGAGGGAATATGGGGTAGTTGAGCTGTTTTTTTCAAATGTGATCTTTGTGTACCTCTGACACTCTCATGTCCCTCTGATTCCAGAAAGACATTCTTTGCAAGAGAACATGACTTCTCAGTGACTGAGGAGAGAGGGAATCTGATCCACAGGGTAGGCATGGCAACCAGTGTGAGGCAGTTCCTTGAGGCAAATGATGGCTGCAGCAAAGAGTCCCCAGGCACACTCATCCTCAAACAAGGACTTCACACAGGACCAGAAATCAGCCCTTCTGGGCAATAGCCATGAAGCCTCCCACCAGCGCTTCAGGCAGTTTTGCTACCAAGAGGTAGCTGGCCCCCAGGAAGCTTTTAGCAGACTCTAGGAACTCTGTTGTCAGTGGTTGAGGCCTAAGACACATTCGAAAGAACAAATGCTGGAGCTGCTGGGTTTGGAACAATTTCTGACCATCTTGCCAGAGGAGACAAGACCTGGGTGAGGGAGCAGTCACCAGAAAATGGTGAGGAAGCTGTGGCTCTGGTTGAGGGTGTACAAAGAGCTCCTAAACAGATGAGAAAGGGAAGTTGAAACCTTATGGTTTGGGTTACGAAGAAGTTGGATGAGGAACATAGGAATCCGTTACTAGAGAGGTGCTTGATTGAGAAACACACAGTAGCCCTCTGATACCCACAGAGTCTTGGCTTTCTTGGGTTGGTTCAGTGCCCTTAATTGTATGGGAAGAATGTCTCATCTGTAGATATCATTTTTAGATATTCATATATTTAATTAATTTCTGGTATCCCCAATTTCTTTTTTTTTTTTTAAGACAGAGTCTTACTTTCTCATCCTCTAGAGTGCTGTGGTGTCATAGCTGACAGCAATCTCAAACTCTTGGGCTCTAGCAATCCTCTTGCCTCACCCTCCCAAGTAGCTGGACTACAGGCATCCACTACAAAGCCCAGCTACTTTTTTTTTTTTTGGAGACAGTCTTATTTTGTCCCTCTTGGTTGAGGGCCATGGCATCACAGCGATCCTCTTGCCTCAGCCTGCTGAGTAGCTGGGACTATAGGTGCCTGCCACAATGCCCTGCTATTTTTTTAGAGACGAGGTCTCACTCTGGCTCAGGCTGGTCTCGAACCTGTGAGCTCAGTATTCCACTGGCCTTGGCCTTCCAAGTGCTAGGATTACAGGTGTGAGCCACCGTGCCCAGCCAGCCCAGCTATTTTTTAGAGACAGGGTCTTGCTCTTGCTCGGGTTTGTCTCAAACTCATGAGTGCAAGCAATCCACCCGCTTCAGTCTCCCAGTGGAGTCCCCAATTAAAATAGTAAAAACATTCAGAAAAATTCTCTAAAACAAGACCAGGGAAAGGATATCTATCCTACATAAGGAAAAACAGAAAAGTAGTGAATAAAAATGGTGAATAAAAATCTAGCCTCTTGCTAGAAGGTTCTTTGAGGGCAGAGTGCCATGTGTTGTACAGTAAACAAAGTTTTAGAGTTGGGCCTTACCATGGCTCTTGCTGCTTGGATTAAGTGGTCAGTTTGGGACAGTGATGGGCTCATAAAATATCCTCTATAGTTAGGACTAGGTTTGAGATCCCATCAGTGTAACAAGCTAATATCTTCTGAGAGAAGGGAGGTATGATAGGCATGAAGATAAAGTAACATGTGGGCTTTGGTTGTGGGAGAATTAGTGAGGAAGGCAACTCAAATCTGGAAAGTCTGGATGAGGCCTGTAGTGATGGAGGAGGGTGTGTCAGAGGAATGCTGGTCAGCCTGAGTAGATCTATAGTCAGAACAGGAAGGTGCCCTGAGCCTTCATGGGTGAAATGGGAAGGACCCAGGAAATAGAGGTGTTTTCCCAGTGTGGAGGCAGGGATGTGCATGGGCTGTGGGGGGAAGAGAGATGAAGGGGGAAGTAGATGAAATTAGGTAGGATTGAGGATTGAGTACTTTTGACTAAATTTAGAGAGGGGAAGGGTAGCTTGGTGGTGATACATTGGGGAAAAGTTGAGGAAGTTAACTGGAAATCTGTGGGATTAATCTTACTAAAAGTAGGATTGAGTGGACAAATGCAGTAGTACACATGTGAAGGTAGAGCTTGGAGAGGTGAGCTAAAGAGAGTAGGAATCCCAATATGCTAATACTCATCCTAGACCCAACATAGCCATCTCTCTGTTGATATAGTCTCCCTTCTTATTCCTCACCATTTCAGAGCCATTTTTTTTTTTCTTGAGACAGAGTTTTACTCAGTCACCCTGGAGTTGAGTGCTATGGTGTCATAGCTCATAGCAACCTCAAACTCATGGGCTCAAACAATCAGCCTTCCAAGTAGCTAGGGCTACAGGTGCCCACCACAATGCCTGGCTATTTTTAGAGGCTCCTAAGCTCAAGCAATCAGCCTGTCTTGGCCTCCTAGAGTGAGAGCCAAACTCTTAATATAAATGAAAACAGTGCAGGAGTATAAAGGTTAAACACCTAATTGAAACTGATCACAAAAGTGAAAGGGAGAGTAAGAAATGGGGGTAGGAAGTAGTAATGGAAGTAGATATATTAATAACTTCTCAACATCCCACTTGCCTCACAGTACCTTTCTTCATTCACCTTAAGGACAGCTGTAAGCATGGGACTTAAAGAATGAAGATGGCTCTGAAAGATAAAAGCTGATTTTAAGTGACCACAATGTGTCAGATATCAGGGATTTTTACAGAGAACGCAGTAGGCATGGCCCCTGGCCTGCTGCAGCTTGTATTCTATGGGAAAAACAGAGGAACAGACAGTAGCAAATGAAAGACAGTTTCAGATAGTGCTCAGGAGGAAATGAGCAGGGTGATCTGGTAGCTGTCATGGGGGACAATAGATTATGAGGCAAAGCCTTTTGCAAGTGACACTGTAGGAGGAGAAGGAACCAGTTGTACCAAGAGAGGAGGAGAGTATTCCAGGCAGAGGGCACAGTACATGTCAAGAGCCTAAGGTGGGAGAGGACTTGGCATGTTGGGGAAAAAGAAGGGAGGGCTGGTAGCTGGAGCTCAGGGGTCTGGGGAAGAGTGTTATGAGATGAGAGAGGAAGGCAGGAGCCAAATCAGAAGGGCCTTTCAGGCTATGAATAGGAGTTTGAATTTTATTCTGTGTGCAGTGGCAAGCCACTGAAGAGTGTTACCAAGAAGGGATGTGATCTGAGATTTTAAAAAAGATCACATTGGATTCCATATAGAGACAGAATGTAGCAAAAGGTCCAGCAGCAGAGAGAGGATACAGGGCAAACAGTTAAGAGGCCATGACATCAGTCCAGGCAGCCAACAGTGTCCTGCACCCAGCTGGAGGCTGTTAAAGAGAGAAGACAAAATGCAAGGTATCTTTTGAAGGTAGACCTGACATTGGGTTTGGGGAGAGAGGAAATGACTTAGTGCTGAGGTCAGAAGGGGATTTCTAAAGTGAAAGCTGACATTCTCACTTCTAACAAATGTATATAATTTTTAACCAAATCTGGTGTGTCAGGCTCTATGACAGAGGGTGATTGCATATGTATTAAAAATGTTCTTAACCACTTCAAAGACCTAATTCTATTAATTTTTATTTGATTACAGTAGCAATACAGTGACTCCTAGATACTGCTTTTCTGCTTCCTTATGTTTTATGTCATTTTTAAATGCTACTCTTTAGGGACTGTAAAATCCAGTTTAGGCAGGAATTTGTAGTGATGGATGATTGGGTCTGTTCTTAGGTCTCAGGTTCTGAGAAGGACTTTAAAGTGCTCATGGAGGAGATGATCCCTTGGCGAGCAGCCCCAGAATCACTGAGATCCCAGTGGACACAGGAGGTTCAGCCAGAGGAACAGACTTTGAAGGGATCACAGAGCTTATATCAAAGCCCAGGGAAAGAGTCAGAAGGTGAGCAGAAGCCTCTGTCCTCACCTGGAAACAAAGGTCTGATCTTGAGTTCACCCAGAGGTTTCAGATTGAATACCTTTGAAATATGTCCAAAATGCAAGCTTTCTTTTTCTTTTTCTTTTTTTTTTTTTGAGAGAGAGCCTCAAGCTGTCCCCCTGGGTGGAGTGCTGTGGCATCAAAGCTCACAGCAACCTCCAACTCCTGGGCTCAAGCGAGTCTCCTGCCTCAGCCTCCCAAGTAGGTGGGACCACAGGCGCCCACCACAATGCCTTGCTATTTTTTGGTTGAAGCCGCCGTCATTGTTGTTTTGGTGGGCCCCAGGCTGGATTTGAACCCTCCACCTTAGGTGTATGTGCCTGTTGCCTTAGCAGCTTGAGCCACAGGTGCCGAGCCAAAATGCAAGATTTCAAATTTCAGTTGAGGATTGTAGCACTTAAAATAGGGATGAAAAGTCTTTATGTATCAGCCTAATTCTCTTTCATTACAATTTTATTCTATTACTTGAAAAATAGATGTTATTAAAAATGAACATGGTTACTTACCCTTACTTTATGCACAGCAGCTCTTTATATACTTGAAGACATAAAACTGCCCCATCTAGCTTAAATCTTTTCCAAAATACATTTCTCCTATTATTTTCTTTCTTTTTTAAAATATTTAATTAATTAATTAATTATTGTTGCAGTTTGGCTGGGGCTGGGTTCGAACCCACCACCCTCAGTATATGGGGCTGGTGCCCTACTCACTGAGCCACAGGTGCCACCCATTTTCCTATTATTTTGACCTTTCTTCCAAATATGTTTTTTGTTTTTACTTATCTTAATTTTTTGAAAACTGAAAAAGAAATTGAACCCAGCCCAGGCCAGCTAAACAACAATGACAATTGCAACAACAACAAAAATACCTGGACGTTGTGGCAGGTTCCTGTAGTCCCAGCTGCTTGGGAGGCTGAGGCAAGAGAATGGCTTAAGCCCAAGAGTTTGAGGTTACTGTGAGCTATGACATGACGGCACTCTATTGAGGGTGACATAGTGAGACTCTGTCTCAAATAAATAATTAATTAACTGAGTTGAGATTTATATAACGTAAAATTAACCATTTAAAAGTGATATATGTGTCTACCTGTCTGTCTATCTATCTATATTTAGAGATAGGGTTTCGTTTTGTTGCCCGGGCTAGAGTGTAGTGGATCATCATAGGTCACTACAATCTCAAACTCCTGGCTTAAGTGATTCTCCTGCCTCAGCCTTTCTGCTTCTTCATATGCAGGGTTTCCTATTCACGGTCTGAATGTTGGCTCTGGACTGGATCAAAGAGAACATACAGGGACTCCATTTCATGGCTACAGGGTTAGGAAAAGCTCTAAGAATTCTACAAGTGAGGCAAGAGTGGTACCAGCAAAGGGGAAAGAAAAAATCAGCAGTGATGCAAAACAGCCGGACTCAGCTGATGAGAAAGTAACAGGTGTGCACTGGGCTTCAGAGGAAACTGGGACTTTCCTTTCTATTCTCAGTGAGCCTCAGTTTTTTTTTAAAAACTCCAGATGCACCAGCACAGCAGCCAGCTATATGGGGAAGTTGCTGCACTCTTGTGTGAACAAGGTTTCCACCAGACTCTGGAGCAATGCCAAACCAAGTTCAGAAACCTCTAGGCCAATTGCCATCGAGGGAGGCGAGGCTGCAGCCCAGAGTCCTGTGCTTGCCAAAAGGAGATGGAAGCTCTGTTGGGTTTACAGGAGCCCACCACTTCTCCCAGGAGCTTGACAGACAGGGTTGATGAGATCAAAGAACCAGGCCAGGGCCCACAGACTCAGAAAGAAGTGGAGGTTGAGGATGCAGTAGAGGACTCAAACAGCTACAAAACCAATGGCAAGCAGCCGGTCCAGGCAACTGGGAGCCCCCAAAGCTGTCGTTTGCCCCAGAGTCACTTGCAACACTTCTCTGCATATGTGTTCTTGTGCTCATTGCCTGTTTGTAAACCATACCTCTACACTGAGCTGTCTTCCAGCTATAAAATTGTTGCTGGGGATGGCACCTGTGGCTCAGTGAGTAGGACGCCAGCCCCAGATACCAAGGGTGGTGGGTTCAAACCTAGCCCTGGCCAAACTGCAACAAAAAAATAGCCAGGCTTTGAGGCAGGACCTGTAGTCCCAGCTACTCAGGAGGCTGAGGCAAGAGAATCACCTAAGCCTGAGAGCTGGAGGTTGCAGTAAACTGTTGCAGTGATGCCACGGTGCTCTACCAAGGATGACAAAGTGAGACTCTGTCTCTAAAAAAAAAAGAAAAGAAATCGTTGCTGGTTCCTATACTATGGGGTTCCTGTCCCGTATAGGTGGGATAAAAGCCGTTTATTTTTACCATATACAGGTTACACACAGGGAGAAGTACATAGTAGAACCTAAACTCTTAGGGTGTCTGAGGAATTCAGGAAATTTCAGTGTGAGATTTGAAAGCTTGGTATGTTTCTGTCACCAAAAGAGTGAATTGTCTAAGTAAGTGCTATATCCAGATTTTGTTAACATAAAAGAATGATGATGATGTTAGCCTGGGAATCAATATTGTATTCTCTATGGAGGTAAATGATGCATGGACAGGTATCTGTGTGAATTCAAAAGGTTATCATTAGGGATCAAGTTCCACTGTAACTGTAGGGTATTGATCTGTGTACAGGGTATGTTCCTTAGAACATCCAAGTCACTGTCATAAGTAACCAGCATCATGCCTGTGTTTCAGTTGACTATTACTACAAAACAAACCACTCCCAAACTTCATGGTTTAAGACAATTATTTCTCACTCACCATTCTGTGGATTGACCAGGTGGTTCTGCTTCTTGATCTTGAGCTTGGAGGATCCAAAATGACCTCATTACCTGGCTGACAGTTGATAGTGGCCACTAGCTAAGAGCTAGCTAGGTTATAAGATGGATGCGCTTTACACCTGCCTTGCTGAGGAAGTGTTCCAAGAGGACAAGCCCCCATGTACAAGTGCTTTATTGAGCTTTTGCTGGCATCATGTTTGCTAATGTTCCACTGGCCAAAATTAGTTATGTGGCCATGTTACTGTTCCCAGGGCTGACTGTTCGGTGATGCAGAGGTAATAATGCAAGTGAGATGCTTAATCTGAAAAGGGAGGCTGAAGCTCGCTCTGGCATTCAGCGACCACCTATCTTTATTGATTCTCTTATATACTCTCAAACATCTGATAAAAGTTTAAAATATCAAAAAGTTAAGACAGCAAAGTAAGATCACAGAAACTACCATAAAGATTCCAATTCAGTACAATTACTGCTGAACACATATACAATTGATACAGATTAAGAACATTTTACTTGGGGCTGAATCACAAAGATGCCAGGTTGTCTGTTCCCTCGGCCTATTTCCTTAAACTAAGACCAACAATTATTGTGTTAATGAGGAGAAAGAAGCAAAGTACAACTGCCCAATGCCTGGACAGGTGTTTAGCCACCAGCTATGACCCGTTGTGGTCCTCCAGCAAATTCCTTTCTAAGAACGTTTCTGCTTTTCAGCAGGCTCGGGCATGTTCTCAGAGTAAGAGAATTTCCATCTTAGAATAGGGTGACCAGATGTCTTGATTTTGGGGGGACAGTCCAGCTTTTCAACAATTTGTCCCGAGTCCCGTGGCGTTTTAAAAAAGTCCCGATTTTTGGAAAGAATGCACGAACGTACTGGAGAACAAGAAGGGAATATACGGTTTTCTGCCGCCATATGGCTATTTCGCCAGAATATGAGTTTTATATTATTTTTGTTAATTTTATAATGTTAAACTATAATAAATAATTGCTGAGAAGTGATTATCCAGAACTGCTTATCAAAGTTTGCATTGTTGTCAGGCCCTGCCTGCCCCCCCCGCCCCGCCCCGGCCATGTTGTCCTTACAGATGTTAAAATCTGGTCACCCTATCTTAGAACCATGTTCCACGGGGAGCACATGAGGCTAGACTGCCATGTTTGAGCATGGGGGGCTGCACTCCTTCATGGCCACACCCAGGGTGGGAGAGACTACAAAGGACTGTGAAAGCAGGGGCCCTGTGACACTGCTCTTGCCTCCTTCATACACACTGCCCTCCCTTCTCTGTGTATGGTTTTTCTTTAGTGCATCCACTGCCATCCCTCCCCCTCCTTTGCCATGAACTCTTCATTTCCTGGTTTCTGCACTGTGCTTTTTCTTGCCTCTTCAGACTCCTCCTGCACCAAATCTTTGGCCAGTTGTAGAGAATGTGTAGTATCTTTTTGAGCAGATTTGTATTACTAAATATCTGGATAATAGAATGAGTTAAGACATTTCCTTAAAGATGCTTTAATTTTTGTGGTTATGATTATTTTTTAACTTATTGAGGTAAAATTCACATGACATGAAATTAACTGTTTTAAAGTGAACAGTTCCTTAGTATCTAGCACATTCATAATGTTGTGTAATTACCACCTCTACCTAGTTCCAAAACCTTCCATACTCCAAAATAAAACCCATAGCCATCAAGCAATTTCTCCCAATCCTCTTTCCCTTTAGTCCCTGGCAGCCACTAATCGGTCTATGGATTGATCTATTCTGGATTTTCATTTGATAGCACTATATGAACCTATAGTTTCTAGAACCTAGAGAACTATATAAATCTATAATCTTAATTTCCAAAATATTAGGCTTACTGAATGAGGGCTTATGTTCCCCCACACTCTTTGGTTTCCTGTCAACTCATGACCCTTTACAATTAGTGATGAGAATTAAGTTAGAGAATGTGGAAAGAAGAGTCCTTCTTTCAACAAATATTTGGTACCTACTTTGTCTCAGACATAGTTTTAGGTCCTTAGTGAACAAAATTATTGCCCAGTGGGAAAAGATGGACAGTAGCATAGTGAGTCATTAAGTAATAGATTATGTTAGAAATCAATAAGCACAATGGTAGAGAAGGAGCAGAAGAAATGATGGGGAATGCTAGGGAAGAGAGTGGCCTGCATTTTCAGTTTTGGTTGTTAGAGTTGTTTTAATTGAGAAAATGACATTTGAAAAGACTTGCAGGAAGAAAAGGAATGAGCTATGTAGCCATTGCTACATGGAAGAAGAGTATAAGAAATGCAGGGGGACCAGGCAAGGTGACTCACGCCTGTAATCTTGGGAGGCTGAGGTGAAAGGATCCTTTGACCTCTGGAGTTTGAAACTAGCCTGAGAAAAAGTGAGACCCTGGGCGGTGCCTGTGGCCCAGTGAGTAAGGTGCCGGCCCCATATACCGAGGGTGGCAGGTTCAAACCCAGCCCCAGCCAAACTGCAACAAAAAAAATAGCCAGGCATTGTAGTTGGTGTCTCTAGTCCCAGCTACTCGGGAGGCTGAGGCAAGAGAATCACCTAAGCCCAAGGAGTTGGAGGTTGCTGTGAGCTGTGATGCAACAGCACTCTATCAAGGGCAATAAAGTGAGACTCTGTCTCTAAAAAAGAAAGAGTGAGACCCTATCTCTATTGAAATAGAAAAATTAGCTGGGTGCGGTGGCGGGTGCCTTAGTCCTGGTTACTTGTGAGACTGAGGCAAGAGGATTGCTTGAGCCCAGAAGTTTGAGGTTGCTATGAGGTAGGCTAAGGTAATGGCACTCTAACTGAAGTAACAGAGTGAGATTCTGTCTCAGAAAACAAAAAACAAAGAAAATCTTCATACAGAAACATAGGGGATAGCCCATACACACTCCCATGAGGCCGGAGTGAAGTGAGCACAGAGGCCAGCTAACTGGTACAGAGTGAGCAGATGAGAGTGGTAAAAAAATAAGCTCAGACTCAGTGCCTGTAGCTCAGCAGCTAGGGTGCCAGCCACATACACCTGAACTGGTGGGTTCAAACCCAGGCTGGGCCTGCAAAACAACAATGACAACTACAACCAAAAATTAGCCAGGTGTTGTGATGGGTGCCGGTAGTCCCAGCTACTTGGGAGGCTGAGGCAAGAGAATCAATCACTTAAGCCCAAGAGTTTGAGGCTGCTGTGAGCTGTGATGCCATGGCATTCTACCAAGGGCGACATAGTCAGACTCTGTCTCATTAAAAAAAAAGAAGACAGACAGAAAGAAAGAAAGAAAAGAAAGAAAGAAAGAAAGAAAGAAAGAAAGAAAGAAAAGAAGCTCAGAGAATTGGATCAACTGAGAGTGAGGCGGGCTGCAGATGAGTGAGCAGTTAGAAGTTCTTATGGCAATTTGACATTGCTGCACTAAGTGAACATTTATTATGTATTTTGTTGTTGTTGTTGCAGTTTGGCTCTGGCTGGGTTCGAACCTGCCACCCTCCATATATGGGGCCAGCGCTCTACCCACTGAGCCACAGGTGCCACCCCAAACATTTATTGTATTTTATACAATAAATAAACACAAGAGTCTGGTTCTTCACAGGTAGAGAAATATTAATACAAGGCTTTGAGGTCCTACATGAAGGATTTTGACTTTTATTCTGAGTAAATGGGGGAATTTTGCAGAGTTCTGGGAAGAGGAGTAATAGTTCTAAAGGATTACTTTGAGTAGTTCAATTTATTCAGCACTTAACTGTATGTCAACATTTATTTATGTCTCTTTGCTACAGAGACTTTTATAGGATCTCCTTGAAGGCAGGGTTTGTGTCATATTTATATTTGCATTTTCTCAGAGAGTAGCATCATAGGTCCTCAATAAGTGTTAATTGAATTGAATAAAAAAGTAAGGGGACTCACTGTGACTCCTGGGTTGAAAACAGACCAGAGGAGGTCTAAGTGGAAGCAAGATCATATAGGAGGCAATAGCAGTGATCCTAGCAGGAAAGGACAGTCATTTAGCGTGGAGTAGATGGGCACATCATGACCAGATATGAGAATGCACTTGGTGAAAAAGCTCTACACAAATTTGCCCTCATGAACTGGCCCACACAGGCAGCAGGAATATGTTCTTGAATAACTAGCCACCTTAAACTGCTCTTCTCAAATGTTTACTACTTATTCTCACATTGGGATGTTAACTGCTATCATTTGGTTTCTTTTATCCGTAAGGATGACAGGAGATATATACAGACAAAGATGGAGGGCCAGACCAGGAGGTACTCCTGTATCAGAGGAGGGAGTAAACAGATACATCTTTATAACCAGCTCTTCTCTCCCCTGAATCTTTGCTTTCCTTCAAGCCCTGCCTGTTCACCCTGTTTCCAATGTGGCTACTCTCAGGAAGTCTCAAAACTTTGGAGACAGGTAAGCCTTATTGTATAGAAGTCATCTCTCCAGGGGAAATGTGTAGGGTTGAGAATTATTAAAAATAAATAAAAAGGGAATCTTTAGAATATCTTTTTGTACTATTACCAAAAGTTTTTGTGTTTTACGGGAAAAGTCCATAGATTTTTTTCCCCCAGGAACAACAGTAGCCAGTTGTGATGTAGTTTGAGAAACTAGAATGTAACTTCTTAGGCTGCTAAAACTCTGCACTGCATTATGTATAGTCCTCCCTGATCTGATTGTCAGATCTGACTGCTCTGTTCTTTTGTCCCTTCACAGCAAGTGTGTACTGGGGCTATGAAGAGACCAAGGCATTCCTGGCCACTCTCGGTAGTTCTCAGTTTTACAGAAAATTCCAGACCCATCAGCAGAATAGCCAGATCTACACGGGGTGGCAGAAAGACTCCAGGAGCAGGGCTTCTCGTGGACCCCAGAGCAGTGTCACAATAAGTTCAGAAGCCTACAGTTGAGTTACCACAAAGTAACACTAGGCTGTGTGCCTGAGCCTTGTATCTTTTATGAAGAAACAGATGCTTATTCAAGCTCCTAGGCCTCTGTATCTCCTATGGCAAGCAGTGCTGTCCCTGGCCTAGAGGGAAGTATTGTTGAGGCTGGAGAGATGCATGAGCAGAGTGGGGAGCCCAAAGAGGTTGTAAAAGATGGCATTGTGGATGGTACAAATAGTGATGAAAAAGACTACAGGAACCTTGGGTGAGAAGTCAGAAAATTTGAACAGTCCTGTTCCCATGTAGACTTGATAAGACTCTTTCGGCTCTGATAGTCAAAGGATGAGAATGTCTACCTAGAAACTATTAGCCTAACAGTTGAGAAGCAACTGTCACCGCTCCTGGCTTTTATCATCTTGATGCATGACCTTATATAGGCCAGGAGTGTTGGTTTTCATGCTGTTTAAGGATTATTCCCCTTGGATTTTAGAGTGTTCATTTGTATTTGCCAACATCTTTATCATTCTGTCATAGAGTTCCATTACTTTGCTTCCTTAAATTGCTAATTAGGCCTCCAGACAAGGTTTTTCCTCTTTTCCCCTTCTTTAACATGCCTATTCCTTTTATAACCTGAACCTGTACTGGTCAAGTACTTAGCACCTCGTTTTCTTCCTGTCTGAGATGGCCAACCCAGAGGAGCCTTTTCTTTTTCTTTTTTTCTTTTTTTTTTTTTTGAGACAGAACCTCAAGCTGTACCCCTGGGTAGAGTGCTGTGGGATCACAGCTCACAGCAACCTCCAACTCCTAGGCTCAAGTGAGTCTCTTACCTCTGCCTCCCAAGTAGTTGGGACCACAGGTGCCTGCCACAACGCCCGGCTATTTTTCGGTTGCAGCCATGGTTGTTGTTTGGTGGGTCTGGGCTGGTATTCGAACCCTCCACCTTAGGTGTATGTGGCTGGCACCTTAGCCACTTGAGCCAGAGGCACCGAGCCAGAGTAGTCTTTTCTTATTCTGCTGTCAGAAGTGTTCTCATTCAAGAATTGAGAATACATCTTTAACTAGATTGATAGATAACATAGAATTCGACACTTTGCCTCAGTTTGTCATTGTGTTAAACAATCCAAAAATCGATAGGAGAAAAGTTGGCAGGCTTTATGATGTGATTTGTCTGTGAATACAGAATTTGGAGCTTAAAAATATTATGATTAGAAAATAAAATTTAAGGGCGGCGCCTGTCGCTCAGTGAGTAGGGTGCCGGCCCCATATACTGAGGGTGGTGGGTTTAAGCCCCACCCCGGCCAAACTGCAACAAGAAAATAGCTGGGTATTGTGGCGGGTGCCAGTAGTCCCAGCTACTCAGGAGGCTGAGGCAAGAGAATCGCCTAAGCCCAGGAGTTGGAAGTTGCTGTGAGCTGTGATGCTATGGCACTCTACCGAGGGTGATAAAGTTAGACTCTGTCTCTAAAAAAGAAAAAATATAGGCTTTTAATTAGTAGGAGACTTAATCACATGAAGGATTCCAATTTTCTATTTCTTTTTTATAAGTATAATTGTAACTCTTTTGGCATTCCATTGCTTTCCTTCTTTATAGTCCATTTTATTTCTTTTTTCCTCCCAGGTTTTGAGATCAAGAATGGTATTAAAAAAGAGAATCTGAAATGGGATGATGATTCAGAGGAAGTAGAAATGAATAAAGTTTTACATGGAAAGTCTAGTGGAGAAGAGTTCTCTCACTCTGAGCTAAAAAACATTGGAAGAGTGAGCCAACATCAAGAAGGCAATATAGAAATTCTCCAGGGGAGAGTGAGGAGAAATCCCCATCCCAGGATAAAATGAGTCACCAGAGACTTTGTACTGGGGACAAAGCTTATACGCATTTCCTCTGTGGGAATAACTGCTCTCAGAGTGTGCCCGTTCCCTGCAAGACAGCCCTTGAACTGGAAAAATCTTCTCAGTTTCCTGAATGTGGAAAAGCTTTTAGTTGAGGTTCTTATTTTATTCGGCATCAGAGAATCCATACAGGCGAGAAGCCTCGCAAATGCAGTGAATGTGGGAAAGTCCTTAGTGAGTGTTCCAACCTTACTACCCACCTACGAACTCACACAGGGGAGAGGCCCTACCAGTGTGGGCAGTGTGGGAAAAGCTTCAACCAGAGGTCTAGCCTCATTGTCCACCAGAGGACCCACAAGGGGAAAAAGCCTTATCAGTGCATTGTTTGTGGAAAGAGATTCAACAACAGTTCCCAATTCAGCACTCACCAGAGCATCCACACTGGGGAGACCCTATACAAGTGCAAAGAATGTGGGAAAAGCTTCAGCAATAGCTCCCACTTCAGTGCCCACACTGAGGAAAAGCCTTACAAGTGTACGCAATGTGAGAAAAGCTTTATTAAGAACTCTGCTCTCACCTGCCATCAGGTATTACACATAAAAGAGATAACTGTCATCACAGAAAGTGAGAGGTGTGTTGTAAATTTGTAGGAAACTTGAGAAACCAATTCCTTAGGTCAGTGTGTGTTCCTTTGAACTTCCTTCTGCTTGTGGAGAGATCTAGCTAATCCATGGGTTAGTAAGTGGACTTACTGACAACTAGATTTTAAGAACCATGTCCAGGAACAGGAATTAGCATAAAGATGCTGACCTCTTCTGGCTCTGCCTGACTTCAGAGTCCTGTCTTACTGTGACTTAAAGTTTGCTACTATGAGGAGAATGCTGTGGGATCCATAAGTTCTGCCAAGAAACCAGGGTCTCCCTGTTCCCAACACTGAGAATGTTTTCCTAAATGACTTAATCTTAGGGTTAACAGAACATCTAGGTTAATCTTTGTAAGATCTCTCACTTTACCATCACCCCTACCTTAGTTCCTGATTGTCTTTTATAGTAAATGGTTGTAGACATTACTATTTATGGTGAAAATAAAAGTGTTTCTCCCTCTGCTTCCTTGGCCTTGATTGTAATTTTCTTCATTAGAAATCGTACTCATAAAGAAGCCTGAGGGTTCCTGAGGATGATCTAAGCATCAAGTCTTTTTCAGGGCAGTAGGACATGCAGACAAGGAATAAGGGCAGGAAAAAGGACAAGAGGAAAAGAATTGAGTTGGGAAGGGTTTGAGCCATCATGAGAAGGAAGAACATAGGAGTAAGGAAAAAGTAGGTATTATAGGAGGATCTGACTACAAAGAGAATAGTAAGTGATAGGAAGGATGAGTGTGAGGAGCACTAAGAAACAAACAAAACTTACCTATCCAGGACAAGTCTCAGATAAATTTAAGCTTTTAGGAAATTGCCACAGATTTTAAAAAATGGTAAAAGGTGGATACAGTGTCTACAGTTATTGGCTTGTACATGCAAGTAGGGTTAAGAAAAAAATCTCTTCTTGATCCTATATGAAGAACTATATATGAACAAAGTAGAATATTCATTCTATCTCAGAGCCAGAAAAAATTAAAATTGGAGAAGAATAATCAAAGGTAGAAGAGTATATCTAAGTGTTTGCTCAGGTTGAGCCCTGCCTGGGTTTTTCCCTGCACAATACTGTCCTTGAGCATGATCCTAAGGAGAAACTTCTAGACAGTTTCTAGAAGCATAAACTTAATCACCTCTGCTCTACACAGAAAATCATCTTCAAAGGGTCTGGGCAAAGTCAAAGAGGTCAGCCCAAGACTTCTGGGCTGGGACTGGAATGAGACCTCTTAGTAACAGCATGACTTTATTGGTGATTGGTGGTAGAAAAGAGGGAGACAGCGCAGAGATGGATCAGTTACTGAAGGGTGGTCGATATCAGCTCAAAGAAGGTATTTGATAAATGAAGAGAGTCAGTGAAAGTAACTACAAGAGATAAGGAAGTGGAGATAAGTTTTGTGGCCTTTAATAAGCCACAATAGGCTCCTCCCATTCCTGGGCTTACTGTGATCAGGAAAATCATGATGTAACTGCCTCACTCTTTGAGTATTTACATTGCCTACCCTCCAAACTGCATTGTCGTCCAGTCTGTTGGGCATAAAAAGAAACACAGTCCTGAACCCTTGCCTGTCAACCGTTCCAGATGACCTAGAGTAGACAGGTGAGAACTGGAGAATACATTCATTTATTTAGGAACTATCTGATTGCCTGTAATATACCAGGGAGTATATTGGAGCCAAATATAACACAGTGGACCAAGTAGATAATGCATCTTCCAGAACCAGACTCAATGGCCCCCTTATAGGTGATAGCACCAGGCAGGCAACACTGCCCAGACAAAGCTGCCACAAGATATGAGTCCCAGCTCTGTAGAGTCTCTTTTCCAAGCTTCCTACTTTGGGTAAACCCAACCTTTTCCTTATGTTTCCCCAATTGTATGTGAGGTAGCTGTTTTTTTGTCTTTATTTTTTTTCGAGGCAGAGTCTCACTATGCCATCTGCAGTAGAGTGCTGTAGCATCACATCTCACAGTAACCTCAAATTCTTGGGCTTAAGCAATTCTCTTGCCTCAGCCTCCCAAGTAGCTAGGACTACAGGCGCCACCACAACACCTGACTATTTTTGTTGTTGTTGTTGTTGTTGTTGTCATCATTGGTTAGCAGGTCCCAGGCCAGGTTTGAACCCTCCAGCCCTGTTATATGTGGCTGGCACCCTAACCACTGAGCTAAGGTCACTGCACCTGTTATGATTCTCTTAACCTGACTGCTGTGTAGAGAATCAATTAGAGCTAAACTTAAAAGCAAGGAGACCAAGTAAGACTCTCTTAGCTGTGATGTCTAGAAACTCAATTATCTAATCAAGTGACAGCAGTAGATAGAGAAAAAAAGTGGGTAGAATTTATACATTTTGGAAGTATAATGATCATGATGTGGTGATAGATTACTTGTGGAGGCAAAGG